TATGATTGATGTCACCTAACCGGAGTTACTGCCCGAGGATACTACGATGACAAAGTTAGAATCTACGAAGAGAAAGAATAGTAAAGAGTGTTGTGTGTAGAGTGTAGAGGAAAAACATATCTCGTGTCTGGGGTGTCCTCCTTTTATAGGGGATAGAGGATATTTGTTTGGGCTGGACTCATTATAGGCCTTATTTGGATTAGCCTCATTAAGCTGATATATATATTTTTCTGGCTCCCACAAATAACAGTGTTATTACTTTTATTAATTGCGTTTATATATATCTTAACTTTTAGATAGATATATTATGTATTTGTATAACATATTTAAATTTCCCTTTCAAGCATTGCCCTAAGACTTAACATGATATCAAGTTGAGTTCAAGACGGGATGGTCAAAGGGCATGGTTAGGTCAATTTCCCTCTCAAATAGGTAGAATATTCTTCCACCCATTTTTGCACAGCATAACAACTACTTTACCAGAAAAATTGACTTGAAACAAAATGCAATTGTTGCTAACCATAGCTGAAATGATCTGGTCTAAATTTTTAATTTTTTCCTTTCCAACAAATATTATGAGTTAGCAAGATCATCCCCACTCAAAATTTGAAAACTATAAGGATACATTATTCATAACAAAGAAGAGATCGTGTGAGTCTGACTTGCACATGCATGACAAAAAAAGATGTGGCTGCCATGAATCCCTAGTGACAAAAGGAAGAATAATAACTGATAAAAATCTTGATTTATTGGATGAATCATTTTCTGCTGGAAGAGTCATAGGAACCTCTCCTTTGATTGTTGTAAGTCACAACCAACTAAAACTATCAATACATGTCACAGAATAACACAGCTAAACCAATGTTGATATTATAACAGGACACACTGCTAAAAGTTGATCTAAAACACCTCTGTAGCATGAAATATCTTCTTCAATTGATCTAAAACACCTCTAAAGGTATTCCCCTCAGATGCTGCTACTGCTGTTGCCACAAATATTGAAACAGGTGGACCTTCAGCAAAAACTCCCCAAATATAAAACTCTCCATTGAACAACTATTTTGTTTCTGCACCTGTATGTTTATATTAAGCTACTATTTACGTTACTAAACAATACCAATGTGCTAGACATTACCCATTTTGCTTTTGTAATTTCATATCTCTGTTGAGCCACTGCTTATGTAAATTGACAAATACTACTTTACTATATGGTACCAAAAAAGTTGTGTCAATCCTCAAAATCATAACCCAAAATTGCAACCAGAGATCACCTAGAAAAAATCTATATAATAAGGGAGGACTGTTTTTGAAAATGTCCCAAATGTAACAGAGATACATTTGGTTTTAACGGCCAAGATGAATCCTGAGTTTAGATCAATGGTCTATATACATTTTCCCACCCGTTTGAGTTCATCTCTTCCTCTCTCCCACGTCCCCAAGCACGTTCTCTTCAGCTCCCTCTCTCCCACGTTCCCCCTCTCTCCCACGTTCTCTGTCACAGTGTCTCTAATCACCACAGCCATTGAAGACCCTTCGAACCCTTCGATGCCCACCCTCCCTCTTCGATACCCAACCCTTCGATACCCACCCTCCCTCTTCGCTACGCTACTCCTCCTTCCCTTACAACCCTTCTCTTCGACCTGACCGAAGCTGTCACCGACCGAGCCTCCCTCCATCCGACGATCGAGTCGAGTCTCTCTCTCCGACGATCGAGTCTCTCGCCTGACTCGCTTCTCGCTGCTCAGTCCCGCCAGACTCTCTTCTGTCGACGCTCTGTCTTTTGTCGACAGATCTGTCTTCTTTCGACTCTCTCTCTTCGACCAGCCAGATTCTGTCTGTGACCCGACCCAGCGACTCCAACCTACAGATATATAACTACAAATTGAAATCTATTGTTATAGAATTTAGGTTTTTTTTTGGATTTTTTTAAGGGGGCAAAAAAAATAAAAGTTAAATCTGTTATTGTTGTTGTAGAATTTGGGATTTTTTTTTTTTTAGGGTTTTTTGTAAAGGGAAAAAAAAGAAAATTGAAATTGAAATGTGTTGTTGTAGATTTTAAAATTTGTTCGACGCTCTGGTTGCTAGCAGAGACACAGCTCTCCCAAATTCTACAAATTGAAGGTGAGCAAATTTAATTTGTAGTGGCTATGCATTTTATGCTCCCACAGGGTTATTGGAAATGAGATTCCCCACTGCTATTTATGTTTGAACATCTAATTGATGCCGTTCACTTCATTGCATAAAGTTGCATGCTCCTTCTTTAAATTCTGAAACAAAAAATAAAAATTAGAGAAAACTACAAGAAATTTATAACCAAATATGTCATTGAAATCAATGTTTAAGAGTATAAATTTCAAGATTTACCTGAACTTGGTATTTGCAGACTCATGTTTCTTCCACCCTTAAAGCTTCCCTTAGATTTTCAGCTTTAGCAAATGCAATTACGCTCAAGAATCTCATAAGGAAGGGAATTCCGGCGGTTTTACGGCCTAAGGTCTGGTTTTCGCTCTCCGGGGTGGCTAAGAAGAAATCTACGGTGCCTGAGAGCTATTATAATGATTTAATTAAGGCTGTCGAGAGTAAAATCACGCCCACTACAAGGCAGATTGATCAGGTGACTTTTTTCTTTCAGCATTACATTGATTATTGTGGCACATTTATCATCATGTGAAAATTGGATGGTTGATCAGTTGTTTCAGATACAATGTTTATGATATAATGATCATTGTAAATTTGTAATGTTTGATGTTTGTGGGACTCCACTTCATTACAAAAGATGGATTGTTTTGCAATTGGATAACGGATTCTTATCTTAATAATGCTATTTGTTTGATCCTGAACATGAAATCTCCAGGTCCAATTGAGCTTATTTAGTTTGCATTACATTACTTAACGACATAATTTTTTATCATATATGATGCTTGCTTGAGGACAATGTTTACTGAGGGAAGAGTTTTCTGTCATTGTCAATATCCAGAATGGAATAGAAATACTGGAAATGGTTTTGGAAACCTCTTTCTGCATTGAGTCAAGTGGCTGATTTTATTATAGGCCAATTGGGAAATCTCTTGATTTAGTTTAATAATATTCGAAGGAATACAAATGTCAATATTTTCTAAGTTAAAGAGTTAATAGATATAGATGGATTTAATAATTATGGAGATGAATATGAGATCATAGCCTATTTTAGGTACACTTCTACTTTTTTTGGCAACATTTGATGTGATATGTAAGGACTGTGGAGACTTATAGCTGTTTTTTCTCTGAGAAATTTCTTTTTGTAATTTTTCATTTGTTTATGTCTTGGTAATGCATTTATGTCCTCAAGTTGAAGCTTATGGGTTGTGATCAAGCAGTTAGAATAGAGCATAAACAATATCTGTTTGTGTATGTATATGTTTGTAATTGGCTTTATTTAGAATATGTTTGTTCAAATTTCTGCAAAATTGGAAGAGTCTGCACTTCATCAGAACACATTTCTTGGGTTCCATGTCCATCCAAAACATCGCTATCGTCCATCAAAGCTGTATTTTCCCCAATAAATTCTATTTTTATTTATTTATTTATTTATATATTTGTGTTTTCAATTCATGGCTATATTCAGAAAAACTTTATGGATTACCTACTAGATCTGTTTGAATGATTTTGATCGATTTTGGTGTTTAACTGACTATCTTTGATTGAGTCTCAATTTCTTTTCTCTTTTTTTTGATTGACTATTTTCCGTCTGTTGCAATTCGGGTTTGAACTATGTATAATATTTTGTTTTGCCTTTGATTTGGAGATATTATCTGCTTAATTTTATGGTTTCTTTGTGTATGTGGACTATGTATGTATGTATGTATTTAGTTCATTTGTGAGGATATGGAGGATTGCAAGGCAAAAACTTGGAGCTGGAGGATTTCCTGTTCCGGTAGGTCTTTCAATCGTGTGTTTTGATTTTGAAAAAGGAAGATTTTTTTTGCATCTAATAGATAGTATTTAATTTCAGATTTTAGAACAATCCTTGCAAAGGATACAGCAGCCTGCAGTATCCGCGTTGAGATGTTATTCATCTGCTACCAAAGAGGTAGTTATGGATTATGTTCATTGTGTTCAATTTTTTCGTTTTCCTTTGATGCTTATTTGGTTGTTTAGAAATGTTAGAATTAATTTTATTTCATGAGCTGATTTTTCCTATTTTGAAAATCATGAAAACATCAATTAGGTTATTGAAAACTTAACTTCTCACTTTATTTTTATTTTTTTAAAATTTATTTATTTATTTAGTTATTTATTTATTGTCAAATACCATGACCTGATTCTAACATATCCCTTTTTGGTAATGTTTATTAAGATGTTGGTAATGTTTATTTATTGAGATGTTGGTAATGTTTTTTTTTTTTTTTCAAGTTAAATTCTCAACCTTAGAACTAACTTTGTTTTTTTAATTCTGTTGTATGTGTATTTTTTATTTTTATTTATTTATTTATTTTTGTTCTAATTCTCAACCTTAGAACTTTCTTTTGTTCTAATTTATTTATTTAATTCCGATTGTACAAACTTTACTCTCTCGAATTGGATGTACTTACATTTGTTATATATTATTGCGAGAGCTTTACTTTATGGATTACCTACTGGATCTGTTTGAATGATTTTGATCGATTTTGGTGTTTAACTGACTATCTTTGATTGAGTCCTGTATGAATAGGATTGCTTTAACGGTGGTCTATGATAAAAAAATTTAAAACAAATTTTTTTTTTTTTTTGGATTGACTATTTTCTGTCTGTTGCAATTCGGGTTTGAACTATGTATAAAACCAGGCAACTCAAAGGTAATACTCTCTCTCTCTCCCTCTCTCTCTCTCTCATAGTAGTAACAGCAGCAGTAGTAACAATATTCTCTCAAATTCTATCTTTAGATGGGCATATCCTTGCACACATCCTGGCTGCAACCTCCATTGGAGTCATCTCTGCCATTGCGTTTCACTACTACCATCGACAAGCCCCAAAAACAGTTGGAAGATCAAACTGTAGTTCCATTGTTAGACAGGAATGAGTCTGGCTGTGTTGCCAAACTTGAAAGATTCTCCAATTATGTCGGTAAAAATCTATTCATTTCCATTCTTCTTTTCTTCTTCTTTTTTTCATAATGTTTTTCCACTTTACAACAACTAAAATGTTTTATTGTTTTTGTTTTTTGGATTTTGGGAATGGGGATGGATCAGCTAGGCAGATAGGATTTGAAGATGGAAGTGAATGTCCCCAACTTTGCAAATTAGCATATGAGTACCTCAAAAAATCCAAAGAGTGTGAGAGTACTATCTATGAGTATTTTGCTGATGATCCAAATGTTGATGAGCTGTATGTGAAGTTGGTTGAGGAGTTTGATAGGTGCATCCTTGCCTACTTTGCATTTCATTGGAGCCAAGCTTCTCTCATGATCAGTCAGGTATATGCATATATATGTGTTTATAAATGTTTCAACAGAAATGTTTGGTAATCGAAAATTTTACTTCAAAAATTAGTCAGAAAAAAATATTGAATCGAAAACTTTACTTCAAAAATTAGTCAGAAAAAATATTGGAGTAGTTGAGATTCATTTTAAATTAGGTCCCACTATATGTGTGTATGTTTTTATAAATGTTTCAACAACAATATTAGGTAATTGGAAAATTTAATTAGAAAATTACAAATTTTTTTTTTTAATGATGGAGATTCATTTCAGGTTGGGCTTTTGATGTTTCAATTGCTTATTTTTGTGTTTTTGCAAATGTTTCAATTCAACAGCAATGTTAAGGAATCAGAAAATTTAATTAGAAAATTACCCAAAAAAAATATTGAATGATTGAATTTCATTTCAGATTGGGCTTTCTGATGTTTCAATTGCTGAATTTTCATTTCTCCTTGAAAATCTTTCATTCATTCTCTTCTTTTATTTTATTTTGGGAATGCGTGATTTGCAGGTATTGAGTATTGATTCTAATAAGAAAAAGTTGTGTTTTTGCAAATATATTTATGTTTGGGTACTTTTACAAAATTCATTTCAAAGTCATTAAATTTGATAAATTACATTTTAAATCAATACTTTTAAATTTAATTATATTTTAATCTTATAATTAATTTAGACACGGATATACATTTTTAAACCTCCAAATCAACCCTGGGGACTTGCTTGGTTAGAATCTATTAGCAGATAAATCAGTAGTTTGAAGGTGTTAAAATCTGAAGGTGAACTTTTTGAGCACTTTCAAGAATCTATTGACAGAAGTTGAACTTTTTGAGCACTTTCAAGTTGTTGTAAGCTTTAAAGACTTTGGAAATTGGGTCATCAAAACAAAGACCATGCGGGCGGAATGTGATTGGTTGGACAGAAAAAGCAAGCAGAAAAAGCGATAGAGAGTGAAGTCTAAAATAATAAATAAATAAATAAATAAATAAAAGAAAAATAAAATGAAAGAGCTTTGGGTGACCCACCATCAACCAGGAAGAGGTCAGAAAATTCCATGACTTTTGAGAAATCAAAATATTGTATTTATTATTATTTTTATTTTTAAAATCTTAATTTATTTTGCTTTTATTATTTGTTGGACAAACTACTAAATTGAAATTCTTAAACAATATAATAATTATTTATTTGGTAGTATTATATATATTAATGGGTATAAATAATAGAATAATTATTTGTTTGCCGGCAGTGAGAGTATTTCGGTGCTTCTCTGTGAGATGCATCACTGGAGTTTTGGATTATTTCGTTGTTACTTTATTTGAGTTTTATAAAACTTAAGATACAAATAAAATTGTTACAATTTTTAAAAAGAATAGTATTTCTTTATATTTTTTCAATATTTTTGTCAAAAAAATTACAAACTTCATAATAAATTTTAATATGATACATATGAATTATAACTGTATGTTGATCACAATTATTTATATCGTGCCTTCAGGCACGAGCATACGCTAGTAAGAGTACAATTTAGAACGAAGTCGCTAATAAATCCCAAATAACAGTGAGTACTTAATACATCAAAAACAACTTTCACAAGGAAACAAAGACAAATTTCTAATCCATTAAATTCCATCATGATCATGTGCTTTCAATGTATCAACTGTTTTATCATGCCCATGCTACTGTGGCGCCTGAAATGAATATGAAAATGAAACTTAACATTATTAACAATTTATATGAAACAAAAAAAAAAAAAAAATTAAATTACACTAGTACATATCATATACCTGACTACATGTAGGATTGTTTGAGGCATGTGAATCTAGTAACCCGAACTCATAACCACTTGCATTGTTAAGCAATGCTCGATAGCTTGTAGGTGCAGAATACATGAATGGCATTAGAATAGACATATTGCTCATCTGCAACAATAATAATGTATAACAATTAAAAGGAAAAATGATGACATAGAAAACTACATTACAATTAAATAAATACTTAAATTACTTACATTATACGTGGGACACATAAAATTACTACATTACAATTCTATGTTTCAACTTAATTCATTTTAAGCATTCCGGCATCATCAGCACAAGCATTCCGTCAATTGATATTTAAAAATAAAAAAAACCCTTACAAAACCACCTCCACCACACAATTATTATGCAAACCCACTGCACATGAGATAGTTGTACAAATCTTAGCAACACACACTTGGTTTAAGATTTTTTCATTCTTGTGAGATTGAGTCCCCAAAAATATATTATTTTGTCTTCTCAAATCCCCAAATCATAAACCCTAAAATTTTGAAATTTCTTATTCACATTTATCAAATCTGATTACATTTCTTTGATTAATGTGAATATTCAAGAAAAAAAGCAGAAGAAGAGTTGAGAACGAAGAACATACCGACAATGTGGTTCTTCGTCGCTCGTCTTTTCTTCCGCTATTGCTCGACGCCAGTCGGTCTCCTACAATCGCCAATCACCAGATGTCTTCGTTGCTGCGTCCGTCTTCTTCCCCCTCCTCTCTCTCTCTCTCTCCCCCTGTCTGCTACGCAAACCTGCTTCGCGCTCAATTGGAAGGCTTTTGTCATACGCTTCATCCTTTTGATTTTTGATTTTTGAATTTTTTTTTTTTTTTTTTTTTTTTTTTGGGGGGTTACCCCCACCCCTTTATCCTTTTTTTTTTTTTTTTTGTTTTTTAATTTTTTTTTTTTTTTTTTGTGGGAGGGACCAAAACGACATCGTTTTGTCCCTTTTCATTTATGCCCCTAGGGAGTCCAAAACAACATCGTTTTGGAGGTATTTCAGGGTATGATCCGAACGTGAACAAAACACATGTTTGGCTCGAATTTTCAAAGTCCTTGCTACTAGGTGTAAAAGTCCTTTCTAAATAATTTTTATTATTTGGTGGCCAAAATGGGGGATTTCTCACTATTTTAATTTAAAAAATTGTTTTTGATCGGTCACTTTATTACATGTGTGAACAATTGAAATCCAACTAGCCTAACTGATGAAGAATATCAATATGGAGAAGGGGTCTTCGAGGCAAAGCAAGGGATGTTGAACCCATTGGTGGGCTCCACTTAAAATTTATTTTAATAATTTGAATTTGTCATTTTGTAAGGCTTGTCTTAAATATCATGCATGTTACAAAGTAAATTAATTGAATATCGATAGTCACATGATCATGTCATTCTTGTTGGATATTTAATTCTCAAATTTTTTTTTTTTTCCTTGAAGACAAATAGATCCGATCATATGGCTATCAATATCTGATTACTTTTATTTGTTTACGTGTATAATTATCCTGACGGACCTTACAAAATTAACCATTTAAATCATTAAAATGATTCTTAAGTGGAGCCCACCAAAGAGAGCAACACCCTTGTTGTGCCTTATCCACAATAGTAGGAATGGCAATTTGGCCGGGTTGTAGTCCCTCATCCTTTACTTTGTCAGGGTGCAAAAATCAGAGATGAAGGAGGCGGGAAAGTATCAAGGTAATTTGTCACATTTAGGAGAAGATGATACTAATGAAAAATAAATAATAGAGCCCACCAAAGAGAGCAACACCCTTGTTGTGCCTTATCCACAATAGTAGGAATGGCAATTTGGCCGGGTTGTAGTCCCTCATCCTTTACTTTGTCAGGGTGCAAAAATCAGAGATGAAGGAGGCGGGAAAGTATCAAGGTAATTTGTCACATTTAGGAGAAGATGATACTAATGAAAAATAAATAATAGAGCCCACCAAAGAGAGCAACACCCTTGTTGTGCCTTATCCACAATAGTAGGAATGGCAATTTGGCCGGGTTGTAGTCCCTCATCCTTTACTTTGTCAGGGTGCAAAAATCAGAGATGAAGGAGGCGGGAAAGTATCAAGGTAATTTGTCACATTTAGGAGAAGATGATACTAATGAAAAATAAATAATAGAGCCCACCAAAGAGAGCAACACCCTTGTTGTGCCTTATCCACAATAGTAGGAATGGCAATTTGGCCGGGTTGTAGTCCCTCATCCTTTACTTTGTCAGGGTGCAAAAATCAGAGATGAAGGAGGCGGGAAAGTATCAAGGTAATTTGTCACATTTAGGAGAAGATGATACTAATGAAAAATAAATAATAGAGCCCACCAAAGAGAGCAACACCCTTGTTGTGCGTTATCCACAATAGTAGGAACGGCAACAGGGCCGGGTTGTAGTCCCTCATCCTTTACTTTGTCAGGGTGCAAAAATACTATCTCATTTCTATTTTCTTGTAAAAAAAAAAAAAAAAAAATCTTACACAGCAACCAAGATTGAGGGCGACACAAATTTTCATCCGTATAGAGACCCTCCTCCTAAGAGCATCTCCAATCCAATGCTTTTAAATAGAGGGTAAAAATAAAAAATTTATTCAAAAAGTATATATAGAGCATCTCACTATTGACTCAAACTCTAACCACAAATCTTCATTTCCTTCTCTAAATATTTTCCTCCTACATGTTTAATTTTCAATTTTTTGTTAAAAATATTTAATATTAGACTCATTTCAAAGGTATGATTTAAGTCTTTTTAATGATATTAAATTTATAAAAATTAGATGTACATATTAAAAGTTATTCAGTGTGTTTGATTTGAGTTTTCTGAATTAAATTTTTTGAAAAGTGAGTTTTTTGGTTTTTGTATTCTTTTGTTTTTAGTAAATATTTTTTAAATTTTAAACATTTTTTTTACTTTTTTAGATGCACCTTAGTTAGATGTATCTAAAAAGTAAAAAATTTGTGAAAAAATATTTTAAAAAATTAATAAATACATAAAAATACAAAAAATGTATTAAATTATTGTATTTTTTTTTTGTATTTTTTATATTTAGTGAATTTTTAAAAGATTTTTTTTATAATTTTTTTACTTTTTAGGTGTATTTATGTTAGGTGTGTCTAAAAATTAAAAAAATTGCTTAAAATATTAAAAAAAATCAGTAAAAATAAAAAAATATAAAAAATAAAAAAATAGAATTTTTTGAAAAGTATTTTCTGAAAAATGAAAACAAGCAAGCTGATTTGTATTTTATAACATTTAATCGAAACTAAAAAGGATGTGGTTGGTATATAATTTTGAAAGGAAAATCCCTTAATGACAAAGTTGGTATTTAAAAAGTGAATAGTATTATAGAGACTATCCTCTATTTTTTATACTTTCTCTATATTTGGAGGATGAATATGTATTCTCCCAAATAGAAATGATATTAAAAAATGAGTGGAAAATAATTTTAGAGGATTAATCTTTTATGTTTAAAGATATAAAAGGTATGTTGAAAATGCTTTAATAAAATAGCTTCACGTGTACATCATTTATATAACTTTTTTTCAATCAATTCGTGGGCCTTGCTTTCTTGGAAGAAGGTAAGAATTTCATTATTAAGAAAAAAAAATTATATTCATACATAAATTTCATAGAAATATTATATACTTAAATTTTTTATTTAGAATTATTAACATATTGTCTAGATTTCCTCCATGTATAGATCCCACAATACACCATTCAATCTCTACCACACAAATTTTTTGGACAAAAATCTGGTAGTCTTTTCTGGACACATAGAATTTCTGTTAATTTTATATAAAAAAATTTCACAAGAATGATGTGATAATGTTATTTTCGTAAATATAATCCAACTCAAACTAGGGCTCCATTTGGTTTGGTTTTGAAAAATAATTTTTCAAAGTCATTATTTTTTCGTATTTTTTTTATTTTTAATGATTTTTTTTTTCATATTTTAGTTATTTTTTTAATATTTTAGATGCATCTAAATTTGGTGCATCTAAAAAAAATTACCCAAATATGAAAAAAAAATTATCAAAAGACAAAAAAATCACAAAAAATATCAAAACTCGAGAACTTTTTTTTTTTTTTTTTACAATTATCTTTCATTTTTTAGTAATTTTTTTCATATTGGAAGACATCATTTTTGTATGATTATCTGTTTGTATGGAATTATTATTTTGGGTTGAATTATAGTTGGTTTGTATAGAATTTGATGTTACAAGACCAAATTTTTGGATGGTTGAAAGTGAAATAAAAATAGATATATGTATTGTTTTGTTTATATACAGGGGCAGGTTGCACGAAATAAATACAGGTTGTGCAGAAATTAATAATAATAATAATAAATAAATAAATAAATAACACTAAATAAAGTTTTTGGTGACTAAATATTTAGTAGTCAAAAAAACAAAATAAAACTTGTTGGCTACTAAAAATTTAGTAGCCAAAAACAAATCAAAGATGTTTTGGCGACTAAAAATTTAGTAGTAAAAAATATATGAGACTTTAGGTGACTAAATAGTTTAGTAGCTAAAAAAAAATATGAAAATTAATTTTTTTTGGCGACTAAATATTTAGTAGCTAATAATAAATGATACTTTGGACGACTACAAGTTTTAGTCACTGAAAATAAAAATTAATTTTATTTGAAAACTTTTGGCAATTAAATATTTAGTCGCCAATTTATGACTTTTGGCTACTAAAAAATATTTAGTCGCCAATACCTCATATTTTTCCCTACTAAAACATTAGTAGCCATTTATAGGACTTTTGGCGACTAAATTTTTTTTAGTCACCAAAACCTTCCTTGACTGTTTTCCCGCGACCAAAATATGTAGTCGGGAAAAGATTTTGGCAACTAAAAACCTTACTTTGGGCAACTAAAAACCTTACTATTAAAATTTTAATGGGACTTGAGAGTCCAAAACTCTTAATTAAGACTTAATGGAGTATAAGTTCATAACTTGTGTGTAAATACTTCATTTTTAAATAATAAATAAAAATTAATGAAGAAACTTAGTATGTGAGTTTGAAAATAAATAAAAATAAAAATAATTTTATTTTTTTAAATGGAATTTTGAAAGGAGCGTTATTGTACATTTTGAAAAAGATTCCTATGTTAATTATAGCATAGATAATGTGACCATTTGAAAGGTTTTTTTATTTTTTTATGTTTTTGGCACATAATTTTTTTAATTTTTTTTTCAATTTAAAAGTTAATGTTTTAAAGTTTTAAAAATAAAAATAAATGTCAAATTATCATGTTCATTTATAGACAATCATAAATGATAAACAATCACTGTTTGAAGGACAATTCTGACTATTAAAATTTTAATAGGACTTAAGAGTCCAAAACTTTTAATTAAGACTTAATGGAGTATAAGTTCATAACTTGTGTGTAAATACTTCATTTTTAAATAATAAATAAAAATTAATGAAGAAACTTAGTATGTGAGTTTGGAAATAAATAAAAATAAAAATAATTTTATTTTTTTAAATGGAATTTTGAAAGGAGCGTTATTATACATTTTGAAAAAGATTCCTATGTTAGTTATAGCATAGATAATGTGACCATTTGAAAGGTTATTTATTTATTTATTTATTTATTTTTATGAATTTTAGATTTTGTTGAATCGTTTAGCAAATTTAATGACACATAATTTTAAATCTTGAAATAGAAACATATACATATATTTTTAAAAATTATAAATTATGGAATAATTAGAGTTTTTTTTTATGATTATAATTAGATTTTACTGAATTGCTTTCATATTAATTCAAATTTTAAAATAATTGGACATACATTCTTTTTAAAAGTCATAATTTATGGAATAATTATAATTTAATTGTTATGGTTAAATTAGAGTTAACTAATAGACATTTTTAAAAATAAAAAATAATTAGGTTTTAGTGAATTGCTTCTATATATAGTGACACACAAATTTAAATTTTAAAATAGTTAAGCATACTTTCCTTTTAAAAATTATAATTTGTGGAATAATTAGAGTTTTATTGTAATGATTAAATGAGAATTTAACCAATAGAATGTTTTTTTATTATTTAAAAATCATAAAATTTAATTCGAAGATTTAGAACTCTCACAAGTCTTGCCATTAGAAAGATTCTTTCCCTTATATAATATATATAGATATTTAATGGGACTTGAGAGTTCAAAAATCTTAATTAAGACTTAATAAAGTATAAGTTCATAAATTAAGACTTTGTGTAAATACTTTATTTTTAAATAATAAATAAAAATTAATCAATAAACTTAGTATGTGAATTTGGAAATAAATAAAAATAATTTTATTTTTTTTAATGTAATTTTAAAAACTTACTATATTGAGTTTTGAAAGAAGCGTTCTTATACATTTTGAAAAAGATTATTATGTTAGTTATAGTATAGATAATGTAACCATTTGAAAGAGTTTTTTTTTTTATATATATAAATTTTAGATTTTGTTGAATCGTTTAGCATGACACATAATTTTAAATTTTGAAATAGAAAAATATACATATATTTTTAAAAATCATAAATCATAGGAGAGAAAAGTTGGTGGACAAGAAAAAAGGGTTTTCATATGTGAGAAAACTTGGTGGGCAAGGAAATGGTTTTCTCGGAAAAGAAGAAACTTGTTGGACAAAAAAACTTGGAGGCAAAGAAAAAGATTCTTTGCCTTATATAATATATTGATAGGTAGATATCACATATAATATATTGATAGGTAGATATCGCATTAAAGTCTCATTGATATTAATATATAGATAGATACTTATTCAAAGACATAAAGCAGCTAAATTCCTTGCATCGTCATCGAAAAGGGTTCTTCTGCGCATGGCCGATGATGTATTCCTGCGACCGTTGGTGGAGGTGTTCTCGGTGAGCATCAACCACATCGACGGAGAGAACCTCTACGGCACAATCACAGTCACCGACGCACGGGGTTCTCAATACATCTACAACCGATCAAGAGATCATTACGAATCCATCAGCCCGGGCCAACCCGTTTTGCTGACTGGCCCAGCTCGATCCATCTTAGCCTACGACAGCGTCGCCATCGACGTGGCTCTCAAGGATAAGGACAAATTGTCTCCGGACGATGATGTCAGCAGCAAGCAGATATGGTGGAACCCTTACCTCGCCACCCCCAATAAGTATGATGAGCCCTTATACGACGACTTTCCTCTCAAGAATGGTTCGGTGACGGTCAACTACGTAGTGTTGAGTCATGCGTTTGAGGCTACTGTGGAAGTTACGTTCGTAAACAGAGGTGGGGAAGGGGAAAACTCGGCCCATGTTTACGGACTGCTTACTGCTCGCAATGGAAACTTCATGAATGAAAGCGTGCTCTTCCGGAAGAAATCAAATGAGCACGTAGATGTAAGGCCTGAGCAGCCCATTCCGTTGTCGAGATCTGTGGTGGCCGTGCCATCGAACTCCTCCCTCATAGTTCGGGCGGATCTGATGGATCACGACGGTGAGATTGCCAAGGGCACTGCAGAGTTTCCTGCTCAACTCTCCGGTACATCTCAGAAGAACATTTTCGGACAGCATGGTGAGATCCGAGTTAAGGTCACTTGGACAGCATGGTGAGATCCGAGTTAAGGTCACTTGGACTTGAGACCGACGAATATATATATAAATATGTGACTAGTCATTTATGGCGAGTGTTTTGTTTTAATAATTAATCTGTGGTATGGTTGTTTCAGGTTCTATATTATTGATTACATATAAAATAATTAATCTGTTTTGATGTTGTTAAATTGTTTAATATGTCTGTGGATATTGATAAGCATAAAAATGATACTTCTCACAATTCAGTAATTGAGCTTCATTCCCAGGCTATTTTTCCATGTCAATTTGTTTTTTGCGGCCCTAGTCTAAGTCCGATTACGGCTCCGACGTGATTTTTGGAGAGTCGCCGGAATTTCTCCAAGCTGTTTCAAGACCTGCACACACACCACCGGATAACGAGGAGAGAGAAAAATTGAAAAGCAAAGGGTGAAGAGAGAAAATATAGACAAGTTGTTATAAAAACTTTAAGTTATTCTTACTGGAATCTAATTTTTTCTAATTTTGATGAATGTCTTCTTATATTAATTTCTTACAGCATCTCCAATCTAAAGCAGCTGCCAAAGTCATAATATGGCAGTTTGGGCAAAAATGACTTCTCCAATGACATGTTATAGTAGCTACCAAATTTGACAACGGTCAAATCTGTTGTCAAATTTGGCACCAGCTTTGGTCAAATCTGTAAATATTTAAAATAAACGCCATATAAAAATGCAAAAGCTAGTAAATTGTGATCTCAATTGTTAACAAATAGTAATTATATGGGACTGAGTTGGAGAGAAGTGTAGTTCGGTTCAGTTGAATTCTTGATATTTACCACGGATCTTACTTTGGTAATTTGAATTGTTTATTTATTTATTTTTAATGATGACAAGTATGATTTAAAATTAAAACATTTATTTTTATTTTTTTTAAAGAAAATTCATTTTCATGAAGAAAAATGTCATTCATTTTTTGAAAGAAAAATTTGATGAAATTAGATGGCTACGATTATTGAGTTAATCATATTTTTTTTTTCTTCACGGATGGTCAATACACAAAGATGCAACTCTATCAATCAAGTATAATTCACAACAACACTGATTGGACTTGATTGTATCCAACTAGAGAGAAGTCAATCCCTAATTATAATGCTTTACACCACACCAGTCACCTAACCCATCCATCCATGATAGCGATCATATAAAACATACAAAACAGTAATACTAGGGACTTTAACAAATACATTAATAAAAAAGTTTTTTATCCGTGCTATACACGATTTCTATTTTTGAAATTTTAAATATAATACTTTATGTTTTTAAATATAATATTATTAAATAATAAATTTTGAATGCATGCTTAAATGGTTATGCAGTGAAAGTAAAACAGTAATATCATTTATAAAAAGAAAAATAAAGTGTCAAAGAATAAAAAATTATAAAAATAGTTTAAAATATATTGTTTATATCTCAGATGAAAATTAAGAAAAAATAAGAGGAGCCGTACAAATTTAAATAAATAGTTTGAATTATTAGTATCCTTATCTTTTTTTTCTTTTTTTTTTTTTGGTGTGTGCGCATGCGCAAATTACCTTAGAAATTAGACGTCATACATAATTCAATTGAGTTCAAAAAAATTGTATTAGCAAGTGAATGAAAAATAAATAAATAAATTCAAAATAAAAAAAAATTCAAAAAAAGCTTCGCTAAAGACGAAAATAAGTCAACAAATCAAATAGTTTAAAAAAAAACTTATTTCATCTTCTATGACAGCCCTTAAAGTATAATTATTTTTTTATTTTTTCGATTGATCTAGTCGAATAGATCCTAGAAATGCAAAACCTTTTTAAAAAAAATTCATTGAAGACAAAAAAAAAAAAAAAAAAAAAACAAAAAAATCATTAAAAAAAATTCAGTCAAACCTACCCTTGCTAAAAGAATACAAGAATACTTAAAAAAAAGAATTTGTGCATTTGAAAACACACCAAACAAAATATAAAACACTCAATAACTTATTATTTTAGAAGAAAGGTCTTTGAGTTGAATACAATTTTAAAATTCGGAAGACTCTCTAAGCTGGCTTGGCATGTCAAGTTGTTCGCGCAGTTGGCAATAAAGACACTTTCCTTACTAAGTGAGAGTTTGGGATTTGCATTTATAATATTTTTTTTGTTGATTTTTTTTATTTTAATTTTAGTGAATTTATTTTTAATTTTTTAAAAAAAAATCATTTCTATGATTTATTAGACTAGACGGATCAAAAATGTAATAAAAAAATTCAAAGAAATCCAGAAAAACATAAAATAAGTTTTTTTTAGGAGTTTTTTCATCTTTAGATATATTTATATATATATATATATATATATATTATTTTTTAGGTTCTTCTAGACTAGATTGGCCTTCAAAGTCAAAAAACTTAACACAAATTAAAAAAAATCACTAAAAAAAAAATCTAAAAAATATATCTTATAGTTGTCTACCATAATATATGCACAGTTTCTTAGTAACAAATTTTTTATGTTCTCATTGACATCAAGGCATTAACTGTGAAACTACCAGATCGAAATAAATAAATAAATAAATTATAATTGAAAACATTAAATTTACAATTTAAATCCATGACTTTACATTCTTCCTTTCAACAAACATTAGAAAACAATAAAACACACAAAAAAAAGTGCGTTTCTCCCATTAATCCCAAAAGAAAAAACTTTGCATTTGACAAAGAACTTTACTTGAAAAACCAGCAATTCACACAAATCAATAACCCAAAAAATCCAAAATCGCAGTTCTACCATTCCAAAATTGAAAGTAGTACCAACAAATTAACAAACGAAAAACCCAGGCATCATCACCATTCCCAAGTAGGGTTTCTTGAAAGCAAAAATAAAAAATCAGAAAAACAGAACTTGAACTCGTGAAGAGAACACGAGAGATAAAGTGAAGATTACCCACAGCTCCAACACACCCATCTCAGAGAAACAATTACTATGCACAGAGAAAGAGAGAGAGAGAGAGACTCATCTAGCCGATGGAGATAGCCGCTGTCGGAGAAGAGAGAGAGTGTGCAAAACCTAAACTGTGTTTGTCAAAACATATGGATATGGAGCGAGTACCCCTCCCCGAACCAACCGAATGGGAATTTAGAACATGACCGACCCAACCTGAAGAGTTTAAAAAAACGAAAATAAAATTTTAAAATTTGTTTGCTAACAAAAAATATGAAAAGAGATCTTTTTATTTTTTTTTAAAAAAAAATTCAAACATTATGTCTTAAAAAATATAGGGGTTTTTTTTTTAAGGTCCCTGGTATTATGATTTTATAGCATAAAGGACACCAAATATTTTCATAATGTCTAAGGTCCCTCAACAATATTTTCATAATGTCTAAGGTCCCTCAACGATGGAGATAGCCGCTGCCGGAGGGAAGAGAGAGAAAGTGCAAAACTTAAACTGTGTTTGTCAAAACATATGGATATGGAGCGGGTACCCCTCCCTGAACCAACCGAATGGGCATTTAGAACATGACCGACTCGACCCGACCTGAAGAATTAAAAAAAAAAAAAACGAAAACAAAATTTTAAAATTTGTTTGCCAACAAAAAATATGAAAAGAGATTTTTTTTTTTAATTTAAATTTTCAATCATTATGTCTACAAAAATATATATATGAAAATTAATAAGTGCTTTTATGTTTTTTTCACCAAATTAATTTTGACTGATTACATGTCGTTGTAGATAGTGTTCATGTCGTGTCATTTATATTCGTATCAAAATTACTTCAACATTAATTTAATTGATAAACATTTTCTTACAATTTGGCTCTATTCAGTCGGATTAGGTTTAAATTTTACAAAAACTTAAACCGAATCTCCAAAAAAATAAGAGAAAAAATCAAAATTATAATTATAAACTAATAAATACACAAAAATATACTTTTGGATTTTCAAACATTATTTATATCCAAAAATAGAAAATCATATGAAAAAACCTAAGTTGCTTTTATTATTATTAATTTTTTTATGATTTTTTTCCCAGAAATTAGGAATGGGATTCATGTCATGTTGCGTCATGTTTGTGTTCTTCCAGGTTTGGATCATAATTACTTCAATACTAACCCAATTAATTTATTATTTTGTGTTACTCATTTATTATTTTGTGTTATCATATCGTATTATTTTTGATTTGTGTCTAATTCGTGTCACGCTAACATGTTATTGTCAAAAATTCTCACCATTAATAAAAAAATGTACGAGGAAGAAATAATTCTCCTCGTATAATCCTGTTGACTAAGTCCACGCTCCTCCGTACGACGTCGCTTTGTCACCTGAAAACACAATTCAACACATGCTAGTGTTGGAGTTTAGTAGGTGGATTCCATGATACAGAATTATTGATAATAGATTTCTAAAAAATGTCATGATCTTCTGGATTACACTCTTATTCTCAACATAATTAAGGATAATCTCTCAACAATTTTTGCTACAGATACAGTAAAAATTCACAGAACAAAGTGGTGTAAAACCCACACCCACCCTTGTATCTATGCTGCAATTTTGTTGGTGTCCCGTTTGCATACTTTCTCATTCATATATGTCTATGCCCCAGGTTTTGGCAAGTCGATTAGTCCAGTGCTTAACACATGCACAAGTGAAGGAGGTTGTAGAGAAATTTTCAAATTTCTCTGGAGTGGTAATTTTGTGAGAAGGCCTGTGAAGTCAGAGAAATTTTCAAATTTCTCTGGAGTGAACCTCCTACCAATCAACCTCTTTGCATCAGCACAAAACTTATTACATTATTAAAGCTAGTACAAAACAGATGCAAAACAATTTCATGTTGCATTTTCACTACAATGATGCATCACACAAGTACAGATGCAAAACTTATTACATTATTAGGGACCTTAGACATCAAAAAATAATTTTGTGGATCTCTTTCATTACGAAAAGTGGAGGAAGGACCCTAGACCAATTTTCCCAAAAAAAAAAAAAATATATATATATATATATATATTAAAATTAATAAGTGCTTTTATGTTTTTTTCACCAAATTAATTTTGACTGGATTACATGTCGTTGTAAATGGTGTTCATGTCATGTCATTTATATTCGTATCAAAATTACTTCAACATTAATTTAATTGATAAACATTTTCTTACAATTTGGCTCTATTTAGTTGGATTAGGTTTAAATTTTACAAAAACTTAAACTGAATCTCCAAAAAAATAAGAGAAAAAATCAAAATTATAATTATAAACTAATAAATACACAAAAATATATTTTTGGATTTTCAAACATTATTTATATCCAAAAATAGAAAATCATATGAAAAAACCTAAGTTGCTTTTATTATTATTAATTTTTTTTCTGAATTTTTTTCCTGCAATTAGGAATGGGAGTCATGTCATGATGCGTCATGTTCGTGTTATTCTAAGTTTGGATCACAATTACTTCAATACTAACTCAATTAATTTATTATTTTGTGTTACTCATTTATTATTTTGTGTTATTATATCGTATCATTTTCGATCTGTGTTTAATTCGTGTCACATTAACGTGTTATTGTCAAATATTCTCACCATTAACTAAAAATTATATGAAATTTTTTTAAAAAAAATTCCACGAGTCAATTTAATAAAACTAATCTTTATTGAATGAAGTTATTCAATATTTAATTTCAACTCAATTTGATCATTCTAATTTACAAAAACTACATCTTATTATTATATTATTTTACTAGATTAAATCAAATAGTAGACAAAAAATATATTATCTTCAATAAAAACAAACAAAAACTTATATTAACCTTAAAATTGTATTTTACACATAAATGTCATGATTCCCCCATAATAGAAATAATATTATTCTTTATCATGTTACTATGAGGGTGTGCACCTTAACACATTAATATGGAGCAATGGGGTGAGGATGCTAACAGACCAAATCCGACACTATAACATATATCAGCCATGTAAAACACATAATACTCCAAAATTAATGAATAATTACTCAAAACGAAAAAATACTAAAAAAAAGTAGCACAATGAAACCAAAGATACTAAGAAATTGTTCATCCTTTTCAGACCACAAACAAAAATAGCCATAGCCAAATCTAGCATCACATCATAATAAGCTCAAAACCAAAACATCTTAGTTCTGACAGGCCCAAAACAACCAAGCCTGATACCACACCTAGACAAACAAAACTGATTGTTCCAAATCACTTGCTATTCAACTTCCTAAACAATAGCATTTGCAGCACTAGCAATTCTCGGCCACAGATCAGCACACTCCTTTCCTATTGGACCTGTTATTGCAGAACCTACAAATACCAATGCAAAAAAACCAAATGAGAATCACCGACACAAAATATGAAGGCTCGGTTTCATGGAAACAAGATAATTTCATATTAATCATGTCCTCACGTAAAAGCATATGATCATGATTCATGATCATTGATGTTATTCAAACAACCTACAGGGAAAAAAATATGATGGGTCAAACGAGATAGTTCCTTAATAACCCCTGGTCCAAAGTCAGATGATCAAAAGTGAATGGTTCCCTTGATCAATGATAACTTTAAAGTGGTTCCCCAACCAAAATCACAAAACCCAAGTAACAAACCAATCAAGTTAATGGAGATTCCATACCAACATCAAGCCAAAAAAGCATGGAATGAATATTTGAAATTACTAAGATAACAATGAAGGTAATTGTACAAAAGTCCTGAGTGCACCAAAAATATGTCATTAACTCAGCAAGGAATTAAGAACATCTCAGCCAGAGGCATATTCCACCATATAGGCAAAAGGAACTGTTCAAATATTCAAAATTGCAACCTGAAAGCTATCACAAATCAAATCTAGGTAAACACACAACTTCATTTCCAGTTTAACACAGGCCACAACATAACTTCTGCCAATTTCATGTGCCAACATAACTTCAACAAAGTGGTCCAATTTGGTTTTCACTTGGAATTTATGAGGGCCGCATTTACCACATCTATCAAATACATCATCACATGTAAGTAGTACCTTTCATTTCTCCTTTGGGATTCACAATGACACCAGCGTTATCTGCACATACAAAAACATAAGTATGGCATTTCCAAAAGAAGAACTGAATAAGATAATAGTTTGCATTTAGAGTTCCCAAAAGAAGCAAGTAAATAAGCGATAAGTTGATAGCAACACCTCATTCCAATTATAAAGAATGACAGTGGTTGGTTTTATTATTTTCCAACAGCAACAAAAAGGAATATAATACTAGTCTATGATAGATCATATAAAGATTACATTTATGTCATATTACTTGACATGCCCCCACTTTGGAAATTATAAAAACTGAAAGACAAAAGAAAAAAATTAAAGCCACATACTGCCAAGATTCCAGGAGGAATATCAAAAAATCTAACACAATTGCAAAATCAATTTCAAGCCATTATACAAAAAAAGAAAACATCATTCAGTTACTTATTACACAATTGATCCATAACCCAAAAAACTAGACAGCATCAGATTCAAAGAGCATAACTTTATTGGTAATTTGGTACCCAAAAAAATACAATCAAGCTACCTAAGAATTAACTAAAATGTGGATTCAAATGCACAACATGCAAACACTAAAAATAATCTCTCCCCTTAATTTGGAAATCTCGCTGTATGAGAAATAAACATTAGGCATGTAGAAAGGCTAATAATAAAATAATTACCAACTTTCTTAAGGCAGCTTAGCTGATTCTAAAATAAACACCAAATTTAACTGTGATTTGAATAGGGGGATTATAATAGTTAGCAATTTCACCTGCAAAAACATTAAGTAAAATTTACCAGGTGACAGGTAACACAATGCAACAGAAGAACATTATGCTGTCTAAAACTAGCAATACATTCTTTATATATGCTTCCCGATATGACTGACCAACTTTTAGAATGGTCATTCGCCTTTCAAAAAAGCAACCTCAAAGAAGGGTAAGAAAAATCAAAGTACAAATCTCGAGCTACAAAATTTAACCTCTCATAAAGCTAAAAACACAATATCAAGGATTCATCAAAACTTAACCCGAAAACAAGCAAGCAAGATTCATAGGATGCTTGAGCAGCAAAAAATAGGGGGAGAGGACACATGAGCAAAACAAACATATACAATATATTTACTTCAATGAAACTTGAGACTACATAGAATGACATTAAGTAGTCTGTCGATGTATTGACTTAAAAGTTACAATATTAATTAACTTAACAAAATTCTATATTATGGATGAAACATTTAATTTGGTGCAAATAATTAATCAGAATCAAATCGCAAAAAAAATAAAAACAAATAAACAAATAAAAATAAATTATATCAACTTGAAATAAGATTGAGTTTGAAAAAAGGCATACACCTCTACTTAGATTAGCAAGTGCTACCAATGCATTACCACACCTTCTGAGCAGAATCTCAAAATTGAATCCTAATTCATAAATGAGAATAGTTATATTTTTTGTGTGGGCAGAGATGAGTACTGTAGGGACAAGCTTGTCTTCAACTACCCAATTCCAAGCAGAACTATATATATAATTTCACAATTACAAGCATAACCGCATGAATAAAGCTGTTTAAGAATACTTGCTATAAAGTTCAAATGAAAATATATATATATATATATATCAAACTTCAAGATTGAGGAGCATAGCTTCAAATACAGGGAAATTGTGGTCGCGGTATCAATTGTTTTCTTAGAGTGATCAAAGTAACAACAAATAAATCAAAAGCCATACATATTCCCATTTTCAAACACAAATCATATAAAATAGTCTAAACCCAAGTGCCATCAATGGAAACAAGGACGAAAAAATCACCTTCGAAGTACATGAAGACACCGTCCTTTCGGCGCCAGGGCTTGCGCTGGCGGACGATGACGGCGGGCATGACCTTCTTCCTGAGATCTGGCTTCCCCTTCTTCACGGTGGCCATCACCATGTCTCCAACGCAGGCCGAAGGCAACCGATTCAGCCTCCCCTTGATACACTTCACTGATATGATGTACAGATTCTTCGCCCCAGTGTTGTCTGCACAGTTCACCGTCGCCGCCACCGGAAGACCCAACGACATCCTGAATTTGTTCCCCGCCGAACCACCACGACCTCGCTTCGACATCTTGTGCTCTCTCTCTCTCTCTCCCGATGGACCGACGATCGGAGGAGAGAGGATAGCAACCTCCTTGATAACATGGTGGGGAACCAACCTTTCTCTTTCTCTTTCTGATGGCGGACAGGGACGCTCTCTTGGCCCTACTCCCCCTCTCGCTCTCTCTGTAAAGGAAACCCACCTTTCTCTTTCTCTTGACTAGCACATACACACCCACATCATTGATACAGTGGGAACCAACCTCTCTTATCTTTCCACTTTCTTTTCCTTTTTTTATTATCACTTTCTTTTTTCTAATCACGCTCTCTTGATTCGTCCTGTTCCCCACTCCCACCTTTCTTATTTTTTATTAAAAAGTGTAGATTTGGATATTTGACCCATGACAATAGATATTTTTAATTTGTTTAAATTTTAAATTATACTTCAATTAAATAAATAAATAAATTAATTAAAATATGCTTGAAACCAAAAAAATAAAAATTAGTCTGGTCCATTTGTTTAAAAATATTAGTTTTAGTTCTTGCATTATTTAATTGAATTATAATAAAAGTTTAAATATATGTTTTTTATGACTTAAAATCAAACATTTGTTAAATGCCCAAATTTGTTTTCTTAATAACTCACATTGAAATAATTATAAAAAGGGTTAAATTTATTTAGGGTAAATTACACTGACACCCTTTGAGATTTATATTTATTACAGTTCTTCTTTTACTTTTTGAAAATTACATCTTCTCCCTGAGATTTAAAGTTTCATTACAGATTCCTCCTCAGCAGTTTATTTTTTTTAAATACCAACTTTACCCTTACTAGGTAAATTACATTGACACCCCTCACATTTTAAAAATTACAATCCCCTCCCTAAGGTTTGAAGTAGCATTACCAATTGCCCCCCTCGATTAGTATTAGTTGAAAAAAAAAATTAATTAGAAAAAAATTATTTGAAAAAAAATTTTTGTTAGTAAAATTTTTAAATTTCTATTTAAAAACCAACATAAACTCATTTTTTGAATTTACGTTTTTTCCTCAAATTTACAAATTGAGACAATCGTTTACAAACCAAAAAAAATTATCAAACAATTTTTATGACAGTTTTTAAAATTTTTGTAAATATAAATTGAAAACTAAAAACAAAATGGTTACCAAATAGGTTTCAGATAGTAAAAATGTCATAAAATTAACAAATAATTAAATAAGTTACCAACGTAAGAAATAACTTATCAAAAAATTCTTAGGTTATGTATGGTTTGATTTTAAAAAAAAAATTAAAAATTAATCTGGTTAAGAAATAAAAAATAAAAAATAATTATCATTTTTATATAATTTTTATCTTTCAAGTGGTTAGAAATAATTTTTTACAAATTAAATTGAAACAGCAATGCGTATATATAACATGAACAAAATTTAAAATAATAATTATTTTTTATCCTTAAATGATAATTATTTTTTATTTCTTATTTCTTAACCAAATTAATTTTTAATTAAAAAAAATCTAAAAATCAAACCATTTATAGCTTAAGAATCTTTTGATAAGTCATTTCTTACGTTAGTAACTTATTTAATTATTTGTTAATGTTACGATATTTTTACCATCTGAAGCCTATTTGGTAACCATTTCATTTTCAATTTTCAATTTATATTTATAAAAATTTAAAAAACTGTCATAAAAACTAATTTGATAATTTTTTTGATTTATAAATTGTTGTCTCTGTTTGTAAATTTGAGGAAAAAACATAAATTCAAAAAATGAGTTTATGTTAGTTTTTAAACAAAAATTTAAAAATTTTACTAATAAATTTTTTTTCCAATTAAATTTTTTTTTTTAACTAATACTAACTGAGGGGGCAATTAGTAATGCTACTTTAAACCTTAGGGAGAGGATTGTAATTTCTAAAATGTGAGGAGTGTCAATGTAATTTACCTAATGAAGGCAAAATTGGTATTTAAAAAAATTAAATTGTTAAGGGGGAAAATTTGTAATGAAACTTTAAACCTCAAGGGGAGAGATGTAATTTTCAAAAGGTGAAAGAGGAACGGTAATAATTATAAATCTCAGGAAGTGTTAGTGTAATTTACCCATTTATTTTAACACTCTTTAAAATAAAATTAATAAATAACAGCGCATGTATATTGTAAGGGAAATAGAGTGTATGCCTTATAAAAATTTTAAATTAGTGATAAAATTTATAAATATTAATAACTAAAATTTTTTAAAAATTATGAACTTATAATTATTTTGTGAAACTACCATATGTTGTTTGGGGCGTCCTAAATAAGTACACTTTTTATCTTTTTGGACTAAAAAATTGAGAAAGAAAATATAGATGTTTAGGTTAACTTTTTGACTTTTTATGGAAAAATGTGTAATAAAAAATTGTAAAAATTGGTTTGTAAGAGAAAATTAGGATTGGGAATTGTGCAGCCGTAATTGTTGACTTTTGGTGAATAATATTAACTTTTTAACTTTTTGAATAACTTTTTGACTTTTTGATTTTTTATGGACTTGCCAAACTTTAATTGTAATTTCTACTACATTGGATTAAGACCTTATTTGGGAAGTGAATGAAAAGTCATTACAAGTTTTTACATTATTCTTTTTACTTTTTTACTCTTTTTTTTTTATAAAAATCAAAAAAGTAACTAAAATAGTAAATTATTGAACGAGCCCTAAATAAATAAACTTTGTTTGGGGAGTGGCTAAAAAGTCATTATAAGTTTTCATATTATTCTCTTTGCTTTTTTACATATGTTTTTATAAAAATAAAAAAATAATAATTAAAATAGTTCATTATCAAACTAGCCCTAAAGAAATAAATTTTGAATTTATAAATTTTTTTTTAAGATTGGGTTTGGATTTTATTTTATTTAGCAAAGCCGAGGCCTTAAAGTGCAAAAACAAAAGTACCCTTCCATCACTTTTGAGATCAATGGTATGACTGTGTAGATCGATAACCAGAGACGATGTCCTACAACTGCACTTTGCTGCTGACCTTAGCCCTACCCATCCCAACAAAGACGACGACGACGACGAAGCTCACCACCGCCAAAACCAACTCCAAAACACGCCACATCAGCCCTAGAATGTCACTGAACCAACAATAACCCCCGAACCCTAACCTCCTCACAACCCTCACCAGACTTCTATGGGGTCAGTCTCTTCCACCCCAACCCCTCATTTCCACTGTCCGTTCCACCTGGTCCGCCGCATGGCACCTCGTGATGTCCCAACTCGCCCCCTCCAACCCGATCGACCGTTACACCCGACCCACCTCCCAATTTCGCTCCACACAATTTTTCCGCAAAAAACCAGGCATTCTTCATCTCTACGTGGGCCTGCCCTGCCCCTAGGCCCACCGGACTTTGATCGTTCGAACCCTCAAGGGCCTCAAAGATGCCGTGTCAGTCTCGGTCGCCTCGCCGGAACTGGACGGGTCATGGGAGTTCCGGCATAGGGATATCCCAGATGGGGATAGGGTTGTCCCCGGTTTGGATAATGCGAATGGGCGTAAAACCCTAAGGCAGGTTTATAGGCTTCGGAGATGGGGATATGATAGTCGGTCCACTGTTTCGATGCTTTTAGATGTGGAGAGGAAGGAGGTTGTGTGCAATGAGAGTTATGACATAATTGAATTGTTTAATTTGGGTTTGAATCGGTTGGCGAAGAATCCTGATTTGGATCTTTCACTGCCATCGTTGAAGAAAAAGATTAAGGATTGGAATCAGATCATATACTCTAATGTTAACAATGGTGTCTATAGGTATATTGCATATGATTCAACATTGGACTTCAAAGAATTATTGAAACTGCTTGTGCAAATATATATTGGATTTATGATTGTATGATACCAAAGGATTGTTGAAATTTTGTATACAAATCATATTGAATTGTGGCTGTATGGTGGTTGCATTGTGCAAGTGTAGATTTGCTCAGAGTCAACAAGCGTATGATTCAATAGTGAATGAGTTGTTTAGTACATTGGACATGGTAGATGATCACTTGGGTAGTTTTAGGTATTTATGTGGTGATGTGTTGACCCTAGAAGATATATGTTTGTTTACAACTTTGATTAGGTTTGATCTTGTGTATAATGTTTTGTTCAAATGCACAAAGAGGAAGCTGATTGAATATCCAAACCTTCATGCATATATGCGCGATATCCATCAGGTACCAACTCATGCTGTAACTGTTATATTCTTAAGTAGTCTAATGGTGTAGAATATCTTATATATAGGGTTATTATGCTAGCTTGCAATCTACAACTTACCCATTTCAATGTTCTTGGGAATCATTGAGGAGTAGAAACAGCAAATCTAATTAAGATCGAAATGCTGATTGGAAGAGGCTTTTTATTTTCTCTTTTCTTGATAAATAAAGGGTTTTATTAGATTTGTCATATTTGACTATCTGGGGGAGAGAACAAGTTGGTGATGATGTACATGAATTTTGGTGATTTCAACAATCATCCTTTCATCATCTATGCCAGATCGGTCTGGTGTTCACTGTTTTATTTGACATGGAGACCATGTTTTTTTGTGAATGAACTCCTTGCAAAGTGCTAATATACAAATAATTGAGCATATGAGTTATTCCATTTATCAAGCAACAGGATAAAACCTTCTTTAATTGCTTCATCTACATATTAATATTGAAGTTTAGAACCAGCCTAACGGAGGGAGGGACGGGGAGAAAGAGAATATCACATTGCTTTCATTGATACTCTATGATTGTTTTATCTCAACCTTCTAGTATGTGTGTAATATTAATCCTTCAACAGGATTATCTAACTGAATAAGATCTCGTACTTTCTTAGTTCAAACAAAAAACAAGCAGAAAATGTAGTAGTTAATGATTCATAGTTGTTGATAATCCATAGTAGTAAAACTGGCATATGTTTATATGCCCATGCATGAGCATCCATTTAGGAAAATAAGCTCTTTGGCAATGCAGCTGTTAGATATTATAATCTTCAAACGTCTCACATATGTTGAAATTTCATTACTTCTAACCCTGTACCATTCGTTTCCTGAACAGATTCCAAAGATTGCAACAACT